AATCTCCTACGACTTCTGCTTCTTAGCACCGACGACGCCTGGATGGGTGTTCGTGACTGTTCCTTACTAGCGTGTGAGGGTTTCCTGTCCCCAGATTTAGATCTCAAGCACTTTCACGAGGGACCCTGTCTCCATCCCCACGGCAACTCCAGTGCCCAGCTCAGGGCCTGTCACAAAGCAGGAGCAGCAGTGGAAATCATGGTCCTGACATGGTTAACGTGTTCCATTTCTTGCCATCCGCTGATCCTTATTTCTCTCAAATGGACAGCGCTGTCGAAAGGCAACTGCCCTGAGGTCGGCTGCTCCAGAGGGCAGTAGCCGTCACCCCAGCTAACAGCACTGCAGCTGACGTTCACGTCTGCCCAGTGCTTCTCACTGTAATGTCACGACAGAATCCTGATTTATCGGGAAGGACATCAAGACCTAGAAAATCTACTATCAGACGAAATAGACTTCGAAATTAAAAGAGGTAAAGAAAGATACTGAGGGACACTTCATAATGATAAAGGGAATCATGCACCAAGAAGACATAACAATTAATATCTCTGCTCCCAACCAGGGAGCCCCAAAATATGTAAAGCAATTACGAACAGAACTAAAGGGAGAAACAGACCAAAACACTATCATAGTAGGGGACCTAAATACCCTACTGTCGGATATGGACAGATCATCCAAAAAGACCTAGAAAAGTCTAGAACTGCAAACGTTCACAGCCCATCAGGAGCCAGAACGCCCGTCCTCTCGCCGATGGCCCTGGCTGTCCTCTTTCCAGAAGACACGACTGCTGGGCAGAAGGAGTGGACATTTATCCAGGACCAGGCCGATGGGGAAGGGGACACATCAAACACGCAGAAGAAAAGAGACTTCAAAGCCCTCTCCATCCTGGGTGCCCTCCGGGGGTTTTTCTCGGGAAAAGGCTGCAGCCGACGATAATAGGGACACTGCTTCTGAATGTCGTCGGCCAGGCAGTGAACAAAAGAGAGGAAATAAAAGGCCGGCTCGAGGCAGAGGACTTTCAAGTCCCGGCCTGGTGGGTTCGCGCGCGAAGCGTGGCTTGCAGGACTGGCAGCCGGGCATTGGCTCTGCTTCTCTGTAAAGAGCACAGATTCATCTATGTCGTGCCACGCGAATAAAACGAGAAGTGTTCAGGGTCGCCGATCTCTCGGTTAAGGCTTCACGGTCACAGGTTCCTGATGCAGTGGAGGAGGGACAGTGATAGCCGACGCTCCTACTGCGCCTGCAGCAGGAGGCCCAGTGACTGTCGAAGATGGACGCTAAGCAGCCGGCCGGTAGAGATGCTGTGGTTTAAATGCTTGTGTCCCCCTAAATTCACATGCTGGAATCCGCACCGCCCCCCTGCCCCATGCAATGGCTTTAGGAGGTGGGGCATTTGGGAGGTGACAAGGTCAGGAGGGTGGAGCCCTGAGGAATGGGATTAGCGCCTTTATGAAAGAGACCTTTCAGAGCGCCCTGGCCTTGAAGCCCTGTGGGGACACAGGAGGCAGTCTGCAGCCCGGGAGATGGCCCTCAGCCAACCATGCTGGTACTCGATCTCAGGCTTCCTGCCTTTAGAACTGTGAGCAATAAATTTCTGTTTAGAAGCCATCCGGTTTGTAGTATTTCGTACTAGCAGCCCAAACAGACCTCAACAGGAGAATTGAATTAATTTTCATATGAAACCATTCCCGAGCATAGCTTTTAATGGCTGGATCCCATTTTATCCTTATTTCTATGATGTAGGTGGAGCATCTAACGTGAATACTTCTCCAATTCGCTCACCAACTGTCTCACAACTACCTGTTGAGTAACCTTTGCTTCCTCTTAATTCTCAGGTGCCTCTTCGACTCTGTATTAAATCTTTACATGTAGCAGGTGAAGGGCAGGGTGCAGAGGCCAGCTTTCTGAATGCGCAGGAGATCGTGGCGACATGCAGTCCGTGATCTGAATCCCTACTCTGCCGCTTGACTTGCTGGGTGACCCTGGGAAAATCACTTAACCTTTTTGGACCTGTTGTGTCCTATTTCTAAAACCGAGTTAGAAATACAAAAATTATCATGCCACTGGTACGGGGCCTGGCACAAGGTAGGGCTCATGCAAACAAAGTTATCGCTGTCTTTCATTGGTCTCTTGGAATCTGCATCCACTTCCTAGGGATGCGTTTTGTTAACGTGTCCGTCTGGGACAGTGATTGTCACCTGGGATGGTGAAGGTGTCACTCTTAGGAAGTAATTTTGGTGGAGGGAAGAGAGACTGTTTCATTTGGGGGGAAAAAAAAACGTTCAACAATATTTTATATTTGGAAGTCTTATAAAACTAGTATTTTGTAAGAAAAACTGTAGAAAGTAATGCTAGACAAAATCGTGTTCGTGTGAATATAGAGAAAAATTGAGATTTTTTCTTTTTTAATCGGGGGCACTGTCCGCCAGGGGAACAGTAAGAATCAAGGAAGGGTTTGATGTCATTGTACATGGACCTTAAAGGGTTGAGAGGAGATGATTTAAAATAATGTATTTCTGAGCCAGAAGAAATCTTCACTGTGCCCCAAGGACCCTGACCCATCTCTTCACTTGGGATCGTGTGTCATGCTTCCTCTCAGTAACATATTTTCTCCAGAGGGAAGATGTCTGTCCAGGGCTACCCTGTGGTCAGACCTGGCTTTATACGTAGCCAACAAGGAAAAAGTGGCCGCCATCGTGAAACACCAACAGGATTCGAATAAGGTGGGAAAGGAGAAATGTCCGTTGCAAAGTGTTCACATAAGAGCTCTCTTGACAGAGTGACGGGGACATAAACCAGATTGGGCTGGTACCAGGAGAGCAGGCAGCGAGGAAACAGGCAGCTGGTGCAGAAGAGTCTTTGAAGAAGTTTGCGAAGCACCGGCGAGGGATAGAGAAGTAGCTGAAGAGAATGTGGCATTCGAGTTGAGTTGCTTGCTTAAGATGAGCGAAGCAAATACGTATGTGTGAATGCGAGTCGGTGTGAGCTGGTGATGCGGCAGAACGCTGGGTTCCTGAGCCAGTCTGTCGGGTCGAATGCTGGTGTCCCGACGTCGTTGTGTAGCCCGAGAAGAGTGTTGCGCCTTCTCTGTGCCTCAGTTTCTTCTCGTGTAGGAACGGAGAGCTGTTTCTGCCTGACATGGCTGTGCGAGGCTTGAATGAACAATATAAAGTGTGTAGAACAGACCTCGGCACATCCTAGGTCCAAGAGTAGTATCGCAATGATTGCACAGCTAAAAGGAAGCTGCCGAACAGGTGGAAGAGAAACAGACGTAATGGATAGAACGTGAGTCACGAAAGGCAGGGAGGGACGCAGTTCAGAGCTCGGGACAGTTGTCTCCTCCGCTGTACCAAAGGAAGGGAGGGGGCAGATCCCGTCTATTCACCAATATTCATCGCCCCCTGATGATGTCCTGGCACTGTGCTCGGCAGACGCGGCGCTTCCGTCATGGAGCTTCCGTTCCAGTGGCAGAGTCAGGCAGTGCACTTAATACGTGAATTTGGTGACAGGAAGATAAGGGGAGATGGGGGTGGGGAGGGCCACAGTGGAGGGAGGAGGAGAGCAAATGCTATTTTAAATGGGATGGTCAGGGAAGGCCGGCTGCCCTGAGAAGGTGACATTTGAGCCAATATTTGAAAAAGGGGGCAGTGAGCCCCCTTGGGAGGGAACGGCCAGCCTCACTGCTACTCCCCATCTAACCATACCCACCAGGTGTGCTCGAAGGCTCTGGGCCTGGAGCACACCTGGTGGGTATGGTTAGGTACACGGAGCCGCCTATGGATGGAACGGCCAGTGCAAGGGCCCTGGGCCTGGAGCACACCTGGTGGGTATGGTTAGGTGGGGAGTAGCAGCGAGGCTGGCGTTGGCCTCCGTCCGCACCCAAGCCATGCTTCTGGGAGGCCGAATCCTCTTCTCTGCAGTGGAGGGGCGGCTGCAGCGTTTTTGACTCATCTGTTTATTGACAGTCCTCTCTAAGCATGTTTGATGTGCAGGAGATACCACGCTCCCACGGCACGACAGCGAGGAATAAGACCCCGTCCTATGCTTGGACCCAGTCTGAGGGGCTGGAGGCGAAGCCACGTGCTAGGTGAAGCTGCCAGCATCTCCAGCTCCACCATCGGCATACATATCTATTGCTTTTGAGTTTTAACTGCTTTGATTGCAGGGTTTTTGAATGGCCAGGATTTGGGGATGAATCGTTCTTAGAAGTCTTTGTCTCATAAAGTCTGTTTCCTTTATGAGATGGGTGTGGGGTGGAGGTCTACAAGTCCCACACCCGTTGGTAATCCCAGTTCTTGTCAGTGCCTCCATTGACTCCAACAGTGTTCTGGTGTGGATAGTATATATTATTTGTCCCCAGCCCCCGACCCCAGTTACAGGTGACAGTTTCAACGACGAGAAAGGATCAGGAAGAAATGTGGTGGGAGATGCCTGCCATCCAAGGGACTTGTTTACTTGCTTTGTGATGTGCAGATGCATGTACGTGCTCGGGGAATTGGCTGGAACAAAATCAAAGCTCTGAGTTCTCGCGGAAGTTTTCTAAAATCAGAGGAGGGAAGAGCGAGAGTGGACAGGTACCTTTTCGTACACGGATGGGAGCTGATTCACAAGCTCGGGTTCGCTGAAATCAGAGCAAATGGCTAAATCGAATCGAGCTAATATTTAACGTGAAGGTGCTGAATTAACCTTCCCCATTGGCACCTGCAGTCCCCACCCAGGAAGCCTAATGCCAGAGATCTCCGTTGTCATGGAAATGCCATTGTCAAGATCGAAACCTACACCCGTTTCTCCAGAGCTCCATGCCCAGTCTTGTATCAGTACCGATGAAGTTCAAGAGCTTTGGTACAATGATGAAATTTGCTCTGCAGGAAAAGGTGTCGCAGAGACTGTTGAGCGCCTAGGTGAGCAAGAAGTTGGTTGAACGGGTAGAACTAGAGAGGAGTAAGAAACTGGTACTATTCATGGGCGGCGCCAGGAATAAATCTAAATTTGGTGCAAGCGTCATGCTAGACACGTTACTTGCCGCCTGCACAGCTGAAGCTGCTGTGACCTTTACGGTCATGCCGAGTGTTGGCTGGTACTCCAGAAGGGACCGGCCAGTTCCAGCTCGGGTAAGCCGCAGGAGTTCTCGTGCTGGTAACAAGCTGGCAGTGCAGGGGTTTCATGGCCCTCCCTGTTGGAGCTGTGACTTCAGGAAAGCTGTGTTCATGGGAGCAAAAAGCCTACCTAAACTGTGAGGAAGTCATCCGGGAGAAGGATGACGACGGTGCCACCCGCGTGGAGGGCGAGCTGGCATTTTGCTCTTAACATCCTGGAGCAGGGGAGAGCAAAGGAGGTTCACAGGTCATGTTGGCCAGCCCTCGAGCCGAGATGATTTTGCATTTTTCGAGTTAGAGAAAGAAATAATGAGAAGTATAACACTAATGTTAATATGTCCTGCACTGGTCTAAATCTTTGCATTCGTCGATCAGCCCATGCAATCTTTACAACAACCCACGAAGCAGATTCTGTTACTCATTTTATAGATGGGGAAACAAAAAGGGAAGCTTTCAGATGGGTTAAGGAGGAGTCAGAGATCACACAGCTAGAATTCACATCCAGTCTTATCTCAGACCTGTTGCTCTTAACCTGCTTCCCCATACGAAAAGCTCTCCAACGCGGTACAGGTAGGTAGAGGGTAAGCCCAAAAGAGATATTCAGGATAACATGCAAAATTATGTTCTTCTCATTAATCAACCTATTACTAAAAAAAAAGTCCTTAATTGTTATTAGCACATTTGTAATTTCATCAATAAAAAAATTTGTGGAAATGTGTTTGCTTTCGTTGTTTAAGCATCTGCGTCTGCATAAGATCTCCAATACCTTCTCTTGACCCACAAAGCCTAGACTATTTACTGCCTGGCCCTTTAAAGGAGAAGTTTGCTGACTCGTAATCTACAGGACACAGAACCTTGGAATTGCTGTGGAACGTGATTGGAAAGGCTGGTTGCACTTCTAAGCAGGTGGGGAACGGTGCAGTGGCCTCTCATTCTTCGAGTTTAGAAAATATGACCTTGAACTTTGGGTCTCCTGATGACCTCAGTCATTACGTCACTCCTAACAGCTGGTGAATGGGTACAAGTCCTTCATCCGGATCTAACCAGAGGTGGCTACTGAAGATGCCATAGACTGGGATGACTAGAAGTTCTCCATTGGTGTAGCTGGTTTCCAGGCAGTTGAGGGAGAGGGGTGATCTCACAGTGACCAATAAGCCTGTGGTCAAGAACTCTGCAACGGCCTCCTGCTCAGAGTGCCTCAGAGACACCAGTGACAGAGTCTCCTCAGGAATGCAAATCAGCCCAGTCCAGAGATGGGGCCCCAGGCTTCCCACTGCTAGGGCTGTTGCAGACACTTTCGTTGCCAGCCTCGTGCTGAGAGGCTCTGCCATGGATCTACCAAGACTGGGCCCCTCGCCCATCTGAGCACTTGGCCAAGTTCCACCAGCTCCTCAGATGGAGAAGGACATGGACAGCAAAGCTCAGTTTGCCAGCAACGACTTCGGGAAGCTCCTAGCCAAGGAAGCGCTGGGCAAGGAAGAGCCCCTTTCAAGCCTTGGTCAGCTGCCTCTGTTCTAATCACAGGCGCTCGAGGCTCCAGACGCAGCACTTTGGAGGGGCCTCTCTTGTCTCCCCGATCTTCTGCCTCCTTAGAGCTGCCGCATCCAAAGCCAGGCTTCTGATACCTGCTACGACGTGCAGGAACCCCGAAAACGCTATGCTACTACGTAAAAGAAGCCAGATGCAAAGGGCACAGGTTGTATAGTTCCGCTTACATAAAATATTTAGAACGGGCAAATTCATAGAGAGAGAAAGTAGAATAGAGTTTACCAAGGGCTGCGAAAAGGAGGGACTGGGGAGTTATCGTGTAATGGGTGTAGAGTTGCCGTTTGGGGGTGATAAAAATTTTGTGAAGATAGTGGTGATGGCTACACAACATTGTGAATATACTTAGGCCACTGAACTGTATGCTTAAAAGGGTTAAAATGGAAATTCTATGTTATGTATATTTTATCACAGTAAAACACACACACACACACACATACTTGAAAACCCTGTTGGAAGCCTCTGTTCATACAACTGCCCCCAAATAAGTCATCTTTTTTGTTGCTTTCCCCGCATCCTCTGTCTGTGGGGACATATATTTATCATGTGTCTTTGGGGGTCGATAGGCAGGAACCCCAGTGGTTTATACGCCAACTGGAAAAAAAGCCCTCGGTATCTTCCCCAAACCATAAAGGAAGAACCAGCTGTAAATTCATGAATTGTGCTTTAGTTTAATCGTCTAGTCTCAAGATTACTCAATGGTGTAAGTTAGGTCCAGACTCTTAATTAAAGCTGTCAGCACCCCCAGAGTTCATTTACTGAGCCTGACTCTCCGGCGAGAAACCGAGAACACGGGAGGTTCTGACCCAGCTATGAGCCCCCCAACATGCTGCACGTTATCTAACCTGTCAATAAACGGACTTAGGTGAAGAGGCCAAACAGAAGTATAGTTTTCAAGTTCACTAATTGCTTTTTCCTAAAAAACTGGTCCAGCCGTGCATGGGGTGTTCTTTTTAGCCATTTGTAGACCTTTAAAGTAGTCAGCCTCCGTTATCACTGTCTGAGAATCCTTATCAGGGTCCAGCGGATACTGGTTATTACCGATATTATACCTTATTTTATAGACTTCGTTATAGTGTGTGCAGTGCTCGCCCGTGTATTTTTCTCATTTGGATGATCTAAGCATCTATGTTTCTGGGATTTCAGCACGTTGTGAATTATCTTTAGCAACTTTTTCTCACTTAATCATCTTCTTCTGTCCCTCAAACCACAGAGGTATCAGCCTTCCCCCATCACAAGGCATGTAAGCTTATTTTAATAACACCGAAGGCAAACCGTAATTAGGGAGAAGAAATCCTTTGCCAATTGATGTGATTCGTTTTGAGCCAAACGTCTGCCGTCTGAGAGTCTCTGGATTTGACGGTCTGCCTCGTTCCATGCTATCTGAGAGGCAGGATGTGTCTTGGACAGGTGTCAATGATAGGCACGGGGCATGGAAACTAACTGCAGGGAGGACTTGGGAAGGAAAGTCTCACGTAATGTTGGCGTCAGGTCGGAGTCACCGTGCCCCGGGTGGGCAAGGCACGATGCGAGGCTAAAAAGGTGAACAAGACCCCTTTGTTTGAATAGAGGTTTTATTATTATTTAGTTACGGTCAGGCCAGCCGATGAGGAGGAGGCTGCCATTGCAAAGAGGGTTTGTTGGCCTCCTCGATCACAAAAGGAAGGGGCACGCCACGCCATCCGGGGGCCACCTGGAGAAACACCAGTTCGCTCAGGAGACAAGGTGGGGGGTGAGCGGGGGGACTCTGGGCAAGAGCCTCTTCTGTGGTGTCCATGAGAAGGAAGGGCGAGGCAGGGCAAGCAGGTTTAAGATTAGGGGTTTGAATAATTTCGGGGGCTCTAGGACATTAGGGGCTGCCCCTGGTTGCTAGTACCTGGTTCTGGGGTGGTTAGAGCAGAGGACTAAGTGGCCCAGAGCGTGAGCCCTCAGTAAAGGAGATGGCAGGGGTGTGGGCTCTGGATTGGTCGGTTTGCCTTTGAAAGGTGCCCTTCAAGGCCCATTGTTTACTGTGTTTAGGACCTGGCCAAGCTTGGTTACCTGAAACCAGACAGAGGCATGGAAGCAGGGCTGTCCTCACCTGAAGCCCTCTTAGATTTCATGAAAGACACTGAGCAGAATTTGTTCAGGTCTGCTTTTCATACAAGCAGAGTTTTAAATTTTTATGAAGTCAAATCTATCTACATTTTCTCTTACAGTTTCTTCTGAATTTAAAAAGTCCTTCACATACATCATCAAAGATTTGATAAATATTCTCTTCCATTTTCTTATTTTCTTATCAATTTCTTATGACTTGCCTTCTTTAAATATTTTTTATTTATAATTTTTATAATTTAAACAAATTTTTCAAATTTTTAATGTGTGAAATTTTATATTGTTAGCATATATATTAATATATGATATGTGATATATTAGTTATATATTATATATAATGAAAATTATAATGTACGTATAATATATGATATATCAATAATTTTACCTATAATTTTTTAATTTTTATTTATAACTTTAAAATTATTTAATTCAGTCTTTGCCAGAGGGTGCTATAAGTATTCTTGGTGATAATGTAAGATGATTTTAGGAATTCCTTCCATAAATGTTTTTTTCTGTTAATGATGTTCTGGGTTTTTTTTTCAAATGAGTAGATAATCATGGTGCCAAACCTGTATTTTCACAGATGGCATTGCTTAGAATAAGGGTACATTTTTAAAGACGAGCCATTTTTAAAACAGAGTAGGTAATAGGGTGGGGAACTCACAAATAGCACAAATTGGGACAGGGATGTGTGAATTACTGAAGCTTGGGAAACACTAGTTAAAGCCACTTGACATTTATTTTGCTATCTAGAGTAGGGTAACACAGATAACGCTCAACTGATTCCCCCAAACCACCTCCAGACTGTGAACCAACTACTCCAAACCATTTACCAAATTTCTCATTGATAGTGATTTATAAAAAATCATGTATCAGTTCTTATCCACAGCACTTCTGGATGACATTTTTTGTTGACTATTTTAATTACTGTTCTTGACTTAACGTCTGGCCCAGCTGGTCTTCTCTCCCTGCAAAGGGTGCTGACCTTGAGGGATGGGGTCGGGGCAGGGGATGTCAGAGGTCAGTGACATGTGGACAGCACAGAGCCCAGGAACGCCCTTGGGGCCTGACCCAAGTGGATGATGGTTATGGGGCCAGAGCCGGCCAGATATTCCTAGACTCTGAGTTAGAAGGCAGGAGCTCGGCCATCCCACGGCGGGATGGGAGGAACAACAAAAAAGAAATATTAGGCATTGATGTTGAAGTGTGAAGATGAGATGCTATTTTGTGTAGTCAAGAGCTAGACTGGACGTGAGGAAATTTGAGGCCTGGAGGGAGCTCTGGGTTGGGACACTGGGCATAGCATCCTTCCTGTTGACTGGTCATCTGGCTATGAAATGGGAGGGACACTGCCTGCTCCAAATAACGTTTAAATGACATTTCGGTCTATCAGGAAAAGATAGGTATATGTGTTTATACACCCACACATACATACACATGCACACGTACACACGCATTTGATCTGTAAGTATGCGAATCCTAAAGAGAGCTGATAAAAAAAAAAAATCTAGACTTAACACCAGTTTGGAGATAGACATGAACTTTCCCCACAGGGTTCTCATTAAGTCACATTATTACCTCAAATAGTCAGCTTTCCCAGGAATTTTAATCGTTTCTTTGGCGTGCATCAACGCCTTGATTGAAAGGTTAGATGGAACTTAGGAAAAAAATGTACAAAGACATACCTCCTCAAACCACACGCCCTATAAGCAGTAGGAAAAATGATTTACCTTAATCGAAACAATTAGTCTCACATACAACTTTGTAAAAACACTTCGTAGGGTGCAGAGTGGACTAGGTACCAGGGGATGATCGATCCATCTAAACCTCGACCTAGTGTGACAGCAAGCCAGAGTGAGACTTCATGGCCCAAGAGCCCGAGTCCAGAATGGAATTTGACAGCACTGAGTGGACGGCGGGGCCGGAAAGGACCTTAGAATGCTTTTACTCCAAAAACTTCCCCTCCAGAGGGAGGAGCAAAGGGCGCCATTAGTCATCCCCCTCCTGGGCCCCCCACCCCCACAAAGTGACGCCACTTCTTATTATTTCTCCTACCACCAAACACAGATCGCCATCACACTCGGTCAGAGGCACCGTCAAGTCGATCTTGCTGCCTGTGTTGAACTCCTAGTGTCTCAGGTCTGGAGGGGATAACATCTCGACAGGTGTGAGGGAAAGCAGGCAAACCCAGGGAGAAGATGCTGAGCCATGCTGAGTCATGCTGTCCTGTGGGACCGATGGGGGTTGGGGGTGTTAATCCCAGTGGACTTCGTCTCAAGACTCAAATGGAAGTCGCCAGTGGACACCTCGGTTCAAATTGAATCGGTGTCCGAGTGGTAGGTCATGGAGGCTCTGGGAGGCCTCCTTCCCCACAAAGTGCTTGGGTTTGCGCCTGGATCGGGATGGTGCCCATTCCGAAGTGGCCAGAGGAAGATGCCACCTGCCCTCTGCGGTTCTCCAAGGCCGGCTGTGGGATCTCCTGGCGATCGAGGAGGGCTTTGCAAAGGAAAGCTGGGCTTATAAATAATGCATTTCCTTTGTCTTGCAGGAATTCTGGAGGCAGAGGTACAATCAGATCGGCTGTGAACAGCTTATACAGCAAATCTAATAGGTTTGTAAATTAGATTTTGTGTTCATTTGTTTTTGCTGTAAGGCAGCTATTAATCTGCTTCTCCTCTTTTGCTGGATGGTGCCCTTCTTACTTAGCAAATAGATCTGTTTCGTTTCACTTTGGCTTTGCCTTTCCCTAGTCACTTTGTGGGGGTGGCGGGGGGCGTGCCGGGGGGGCTGTCAATAGAGAGGAGTTCATGAAATGGCCCAAGGTCTAGAGGCTGCAGAGATGGAAAGCTCAGATGCTAAGAGTCACTTTCTGAGAAAGAGTCCACCCACTTTGAAGCACTTAGGCCACCAGCAAGCTTATTCATAACTTGAATTTCTGCTGAGTGGTGGAGACTCTGTGGAATCAGGACATTCGCCCAATTTCGTCGTGATAGATGTGGCTGGTCCAGGAAGTCAAGAGGGAAATCGAGCGTTCGGAAACTTTGCTGAGACCTCTGAAAAACAGGGAGTCGACTCGGTAGCGTGAACCTCGATAAGTGGATGGGCACTCTAAATCCTGAGCATTTCCTCACACGACAATCCTTGGCCAAGGGACAGCTTGATGCAGGAGAGTGAGCAAATACTTTGGAAGCCAACAGACCCAGGCTTGTCACTGGCTATGGCTGAACCATGCCTCTGAGTCCCCATTCGCCACCAGTGACAACTGTCCCGTAGCGCTAAGCCCAAGCTCACAGAGCAGTGGGAGGAAAAAGAAGATGCCCAGTTGTCGGACGTAAACAGAGGTCACTGCTCAAAATGAAGGACTCGCTTTTTACTTTCTAAATATCCTATCCCGGTCGATCTGGGAGAGAGTGGCCCAAATTATTCGGAGTGAGGTCTGTTATGTGTCCTTCCATATTTTGGGGGGTGGTCTCTTGACCGTATGAGACCTGTCAGGTGTGTCCATTCCTGACCCTACTGGACTGATTCAGGAAACTGCCCCCACCCCACCCCACCCCATGTCTGCCATCGTTGACCTCTTAACCACTTGGGAGCTACAAATGGAGCTTATGCTACACCTGGAGAAATACAGCTATACCTTGCATTTCTCTCCAGCTTTTGGAGAAAGAAGATTCTGTCCCTGGAGCAGGAATCCCCAGGCTCTGCGGTCACTAGGGGTGGGGTGGGGGCTGCGGTCTTCTCGGGAGCCCAGCAGACCTGGATGCAATCCCACTGCTTATTAGCTGGGACTGTGGGCAAAGTCATCTCAACCCCTCTGAGCCCCATTTCCCTCACTCAAGTAGAACCAGAATGCAACTTTGAGGGGTGTTCCAAGGATGAAGACCTCTGACTGCCAGGCTCTTGCCCAGCCTGATTTTAAAAGCGCTCAGCTGATGCTCGCCTATCCCTGTGGATGTGCCCGCAGCATCAGAAGATGGCCACTGACTTGGGCAAAGAAACGTGTCCCTGGAGTAGACAGGATGCTGGAGACGTAAAGGCAACTCACTGAAGAAGATGATCTCAACTCAGCAGTCCACCTACCTGTGTCTGTGCGACACAGAGCACGTACAACCAGGGCACAGAAGTGGTCCCTGGAATTATCTAATCGTCTCTCGATTTTACAGAGAAGAAGGCAGAGATCAGAGACCCAAAGCGACTTTCCCAAGTCCCCAGATAGATAGCGACAGAGCCAGACTACAAGTCCAGGAAGACCATCCCAGATTTCACTAGGAAGTGGAGACAGAAATGGACTTTCCCCTCTGTCCGTGCAACGTTTCTCTCGTTTTCTCTCCTCCCTCCATCACCTCGTGTCCCAGAGAAGCCTGGAAGCCCTTCAGGAGGTGTCGGAGCAGGCCCCCTCTGCAAGCACCCTCTGCGAATTTGCAGAGTAGCTCTGCAAATTTGAGAGGTCCGGGGCACCCAGTATGCTCATTTTTGAGGACCGCCACCCAAAATTGAATTCGCCCTAAGCCGTGAGAGTCCCCAGTCGCTGGTCAGCTTGCCTCCCAGGAAGACGACTCCTCGTCACAAATATTAGTGTCTCTATCACATATGCCTCCTGATATAAGCTGCGTGGAAACTTGGGGTCTTGGGGTGTGGCAGCTCAATCATGGCCCTGAGGGTCTCTGCTCCCACCGGCGGCCTACGTGGAAAGCGGCAGGGCCACAGGGATGCAGCCACAGCCAGCTCCTCCTGGAGCCTCATGATAGGGAGAGGACATTGGGGGTCCTTTTAGGGTTCTAGAACCTTAGCGCTACAGAGCTTCCTCTCCTGCACCCACTTTCTATAAATGGGGAAACTGAGACTCGGACAGATTAAAGTGATTCGCCCACAGTCACACAGCTTGTGAAATCCTTCCACTACACCCTCTGCTTCTTTTCATGAAAGCAGCAAAAATTCCGAAGGGTCAGGTCTTCGGGCCCCATCACGGGCTTCCCTTAAGTCTACGTGGCAGAGGAGTCCGTCTGCCTCACTCCAAACCCTTTAATTTTCTATCCTCTGCGAAAGTTGCTCATATTTGAATCTGAGACAAGTGCCATCATCTATAGGAGCTAAGAATATTGAAGAATGGACGTGTATGGGGAGAATGTGCAGAGACAAGGTGCACCCCCAAACGAATGTCTTCTCTACCTATGGAAAGCAAAACCGATCATTAGGTTCAAATCCCGTTAAAAGGATTTCGTCTTTTTTTAATGTGGCTGTTCCAAGGTAAATGCAAAGGACGTAGACGTTTGCTTTGGATTCTTTAAAGCTCCGGAGTTGGGCATCACAAATCCAGTTATCACTGGAACTGGGAGGATGTGCTGTCAGCCTAGACAGAAAGAGCTTCTCCGTGACCCACGTGGATCTGTGTGCAGCCGGCAGGGGTGGTCTGGCTCCTGCCTTTAGAGAGGTAGCTGTAACCTCGTTTCTTAGAAACCTACTAGCATAGATTTCAAGCCTCTGCATTCAAGTGGGTCCGGTTATGCCTGGGGTTCCCGAGTTCAGTGGAAGGATGGTGGGCACCCGGAATGGTGATTCGCCCCAGGAGTACACAGCTGGCCAGCTCCCTCGTCCATCCAGGCTCCCCCGAGACAAAATTGAAATTTGAATTCGGCAACTACTTATTTATTGAGCACCTGCTACACTAGACCATTGGGGAGTATCAAAATAAGTGAGGGTGCTTGCTCTCGCCCCTGCTTTTAGTCTAGTGCGAGAGAGACACGGCACCAACAACTCTGGAGCGAGGCGGGTGTTTTAAGGGGCACCTGTGACAAAGCAGAGTGTGACGGGGTCGGGGAGGAGGGAGAAGCTACGTCACCCCGCCCTGATAAGTTTTCATTTTCTGCTGAGTTTCTAAACCATCATGCGATACTTGGCTGCCATGCAACTGCTATTGGGAGCTTTGCAAAAGTAAGTCGGAGGAGTATTACTATTCTGACAGTGACTGCTAGGCTTCTCTGGGAGGCGGGAGAGGAGAGAAATAGTTTGATCACCCGCTTCCTGTCTCCAGGAATGTACGTGGGTTATACCTTAGGGAGAGAGTCTGTGCCTTCCAGAAGATAAATAGACTCCCTTCCCTTCTCAGGTAATAACTGCAATTTTGCGCTCCTGAAGAAGTTTACATTCGAGCCTGAGCAAAAACAAAACTATTAGACTTGTCATCGGCATGCTAACAGATCCTGTCTACCCTCTTCCTTTTCTTTCCCCCTCCCCTTCCAGAGCCGAAGTGGTAATAAATGGGTCCTCGTCACCAGCTGTCGTCGAGAGGAGTAATGAAAGCATTAAGCACAACATGCGGCCAGCCTCAGCCAAGTGGAGACACAACCAGACTCTGTCTCTGAGGATCAGGTAGTGGTGATCATGACCTCCGCGAAGGGAGACGGGCTTGGCCGGCTTCGGCGCAAGCCGGCCAATTGCCGCTCTCTGTCATCGAAAGGAGTCAGGGTAGAAATAAAATGTTTACCTCCCACTGAGGCGGGTTTCATGGGTAAGCGGTCAGTTGGAAAGAAAACCCCGGGGCGGGCTCAGCGGGCAGCACGTGCGGGCGATGACTGGGCCAGTGGGGAGGTTGGCGGAAGCACCGTGCTGAGCTTCTGGGGTCGGAGGGAGTGGGGCGCTGGGGTCAGCAGCAGCGAGAGCCTGGGGCCGGGGGGGGATGGGGGTGTGGAAGCCACAGCTGGCTTCTCCCACAGGGCACCAGGGAAGCGGTCCTTCCCATGCATAAAGAGACGTTCCTGCTTGGGCCTGCCTGGCATCCATGCCCCCTTTCTGTGGTGACGGTCCCCCCATGTGGAGAGTCTTTGGAGAGCTTCCCCCTGCCACTGCCCCCCGCCCCCCACACACACAGTCGTTGCAGCTTGAGAAGGCCGCCCCTTCTCTGACGACGTAAAGATGAAAAGCCACAGCTCGGCCTCGGGTGACCAGAAGCTGGCATGACGCCTGACTGTGAAGCGGGGGGGCCCTGCGGCTCCTGTCAGGTGGCGGGAACGGGGAACGGTAGAGTGGGAATTGCAACTTCAGCAGTTTGGCCAGTTGCCTTTGAGATGCCGTCACTGACCCCGCAAAGACTGGTCAGTATAATCCAACCGTTCACTTCCCGGCACGGTGCTGGGGGCCCCCGGTGCTCGTAGAAAGCAGGTACGTTAGTGGGGAGGCGCCGCGTGAGCAAAGTCAGGACAGTGCGGGGGTGATATGCGCACATCGGGCGGCACCGCATCTTATGAATCGGTGGAGACGACGAGATCAGCTGAGGAGAAAGTACTCCGTTTTGTAAGAAGACCGAGAGCGCTGGCCAGGGAAGGAGCCGTGGGTTTTGAAGGACGATTAGGGGTTTGCCGGGCACACCACGCTACGCTGGGCTGGCACGTGGTCGCAAGTGTGGTGTTTGCACTTGCACTTGGTGCTGCTGGAACATGAAGCAGGAGGTAGGGAATGGGGGTGGCTGGGCTGGTGCACCAGGACAGATGGGGACAGCCGTGATTACAGTGGTCCACATTCCCAGGCCATCGCCCTGGGGAGGCAGCAGGGAACTAGGGGTAGGGGCACAGCGATCAGCCTTGCCCGCAGCTAACCCAAAGTGTCACCACACGGAGCGGGGAGGTGTCCCCTCCAGGTAGGCTCACCGTCAGAGTGGAAATGCCTTACCCCCTAATTCTGGAGGCTTAGTTTTCAAGGGACATGGCAGGGGGTGGGAGGGATAGAGAGGGTGGCGATCTGGGCCTGGCAGCTGAGCCTATCTGAACAAGCTGACTCCTGTCATCACTACTCTGCCACCCTTAGTGCCTCTTCTGAGGCCTCCTGGGTTCACCTTTGTGCTGACACCTGCAGGCCCAGGTCACTGACCCCTGGATCAGTGGCACTGTGGAGTCAGGACGAACACCTGCACCTGTTTCCTGGGGCTGCCATGAGAATTTTCCCACCGACTTGGTGGCTTAAAAATAACAGAAACTTATTCCGTCTCAGTTCTGGGGACCAGAATTCTAGTGAGCCCTCTGAAGGCCCTCGGGGGAATCCTTCCTTCTCCCTTCCAGCTTCAGGGGACTCCGGGTGGTCCTTGCCTTGCATCACTCCGATCTCTGCCTCTGCGGTCACATGGCCTTCCCCTCCGTATCTGTGTGTCCCCTTTCCTGTCTCTTATAAGGACACTTGTCATCAGATTTGGGGCCCACCCAGGTAATCCAGGATGATCTCATCTCAAGATCCTTAATTTAATCACACGCAAAGGCCCTTTCTCCAAATAAGGTCACGGTCACAGGTTCCGGGGAATAGGATGGGAGCGCATCTTTTGGGGGGGCCACCACTGAACCCACTACAGATAAATAGAGAGCCCCGCCCTCCCCGCTCCCTCGCTCCCATCACGCGCTCACTGGTCAGCTGACCTGCGTGCTCTTCCTTAACCTTCCCACCTCGGGGCGCCCTGTGCCTCAGACAACCCCGCAACTCTCCCCCTCATTT